AGAGTGGTAGCTAACAGGAGCTAAAACATATGAATACAAACACCTCCATAAAGAAAATAACTGGGTAAGAAGATATTTCTAGTCCGAGCCACTGGCGATCCAGGCCAGTTAATATTCAAGACAAAATTCAATTTAGGGGACAAAAACCTGACTAAAATCTGAGAATTAACAGGATTGACTTTAACAGGCAGCAGAGGGAGCTATGGGCTTGAAACCACCACTGGTTTCCCCTCAATGGCGAGCATTTGACAGCTTCCTGCCTATCTCTACACTGACACTCTTTACTACCACATCAGAAGGCAACTACTCCTGAGACAAATCTTCTCAGGGTCACTGGAACTAGATAAGGTGAAGCACATTCTAACAGTCTTTTCTTACTTTTTATTGCCAACATTTCCATACAACAAAGAGACCTATAGACTTAAATGAAATAAGCAATATTTCGTTCTTATTCTCAAAAACAAACAGAAACACCACACACACAAAGCAAAACAAAACACCTTGCTGTGACCATCAGAACATTAGGAGGCAGAAGGATTACTTACCGCAAAAACCCCTCGAACTACCCAGCCATGGTGTTGCCGTAATGTTTTACCATATGCATTATCTTGAAAAGAAGAAAAACTCCATGAGGAACAATTTCATCAGAATTTGATGTGCTATTTGTATCATGTCCTTTCTAATGTATGTAGTAGCACATTCTTATTGGTATTAGAAACTGATTTAAAAAAAGCTGAATTATGAGATTATGTACCCCAAAAGTCTTGAGTAGGAAAAAAGCCTACAGAGATTTTTTTTAAAAGAAAAATTGGTATTTCCACTCTTACCCTGTGTCATATCTCAACTTCAGCTTATTATCATGGTTGGAAAATTCAATACATATAAGGAAGTAAAGAGGGAGGAAAAGATACTGTAATATAGAGACTAAATACAATTTAAAATACACTATAAAAATATAAAAATGCAGTTCTTTGAAATGTTGTGTGATCCTGAGCCAGTCCCTTAGCTGACCTCTCTAACCATCTGTTTCCCCCTTTGTAAAATGACCTCTAAGATTCTCTTCAATTCTAACATTCTATTCTGGGATGTCAAATGCTTGTCCTAGATGTCCCTATGACCCTGGATATACAGTTTTAAAGCTAGAAACCTTTAAAACTATTATGGAAAGAACAGCTTGAAGTTATTAAGGTAGATATAAAGTATATGGTGAGGTCTATTGATAAAAGTCATTCACATTCTAGACTTTAAAGATAAAAACCTATTATTTTTGTCCCAGTGAGTTTTTTAAAAGGAGATTTAAAAACTGCTATATAATAATTTTAATTACCAAAAAAAAAATCTCGAGAACAAGATGACTGCATTTTATGCAAGGGATGTGTTCCTGAAGGCTTTGAATGATTCAATATATGCAAAATTCAAAACTGATTTTTCCACAGGAATAAATGCGCTCTCAGGAGGGCACAGCTCTACATCACCACAGTGCATTTTTATTTCAATGCTCCATTTTATTTTCTCAGCATCATCTCCAGTGGTCTACAGAGTCCTCACACTCCTAAATTACAGCACAAAGTATCATAGGGGTTGTTTGACCTTCTTTATCATGTTTTACCACATCTAAATTTTATTCCAAACTTATTTATTTTCAAGGGCTAGTTTCAACACTAGTACAAGCACCACCATCAACCATTTAATCAATGCTTGGGCGACACTGTAATAGGATATAAAGACACTTTAAATTATAACAAGAGCAGATGTTAAAATAACAAAAAAAAGACACCAACTCCACAACCACAGGCTCCTATGCAGTAAAAAAAAGCAGTGTGGTTCACAGAATACTGCCAAAGAACATCAGGTATCTGCATTTTACTGGGCAAAACAGCACTGCCATGTGGCTGTAGCTTGAACACAGTTTACAATTTATTCAAGCTCTCTAGCTTTGAAATGATGTAATTCTTGTCAATTTCTATTTTTAAAATTTGGGTGAGGCTTTATTAATACTTTTAGCATACCATGTATCAATTTTACATAATTCAAGTTTGCATAAAATACATTATATTTTGTATAAAAGAAGACTGCACATTTGAATTCTAACAGCAGATTTCGCTGGCTATCTAAAGTTTTAGGAATGGGTTGAAATGCCAGCATCCAGTGTGGTGAAGCTAAAGCAGAAATGATAAAAATCAATCAATTCAAGGGCACAAAGGACTCTTAGAAATAGCCTAAAGGAGAACTCAAGATTAAATTCAATCTTTTTCTTAGGAGAACAGTCTGTAGGCTAAGACAGTGTCAAAGATACAAGTCTTCAATGTAAGCCACACTTAAAACCTATCTGATTCTCTACGGGGACAGATGTTATCAGGGACATTTTAGATGGTATCTAAGACCTTAATGAAGAAAGGGTTGCTAGCATATAGGTGCAGACGGGCAGGAAATACTAGGCACGGCCTCTGCGGTGAATCAGCAAGACAGTCAAATTTCTAACCGTCTAAGGAGCCATCTGGGCTGGTAAGAAGGTGTACAGGTCCATGGAAAACATCCCGAGGTGAGTCACAGAGGTATAGTGGGAACACTTTCTTTCTTGTGATCCTAATCCATGTAAGGTATTAAATGCCATTAATAATCAGTAGATGAAATTTAGTGCCATTACAATCTGCTCGTAGACATCTGTGATGGAACAGCTGCTCCATTCAGCAAGAATTTAGTGTCTACCACTGCCCCTTACTAAGTGCAAGGCAGCAGGGATTACTGGGTGATTTAAACTCCGTCCCTTGCCCTTAGGAAGTTCATGGGTTTATAAGACAGCCAGCCTTTAACAAATCATCGTTATGCAAATTGCCAACTGCTATAACAGAGATCTCTATCCATGCTATAGGAAAAGAAAGAGAGATGAATCCAGCCTGGGAGCAAGTGGACAGAAAGAATTCTCCAAAGGAGTCTCAAAGGCTGGGTAGGGCAGAGAGTAGGGTGGTACCTGGGGCTGCAGACAGAGGAAGCTACATGGAGTTGTGAGAGATGGTGGCGTGAAGGGGGAACGGTCCAGTAGGGCTGCAGATCACTGGGGCTGGGGCCAAACTGTGAGGACCTTTTTTATGCTGTGTCAAGGATTCTGAACTTCCCACCTGAGGCACAGTGGTAGTTTAAAATAACACTTACTGCTTTTTTTCTGATTTCACAAATAATCCATGTTCAGGAAAATGCAAAAAGGGAAGAACTAAAGAAACCTATAATCATGCCTCCCAGAGGTAACCACAGAGGGCATTCTGGAGGTATATTCTCTTAAGTCTTTTTTCCTATACAGATAGCATTATTTTCTTCTACTAACAGTCACGATCATTCTGATTTGGAATTGTGGTAGGGAAGTAAAAGGAGATCAGTATTTCTTTACGGTATGCAGCAAACGCAGCTGACTGCTGTCCTGGTCCCTGAGCCTTCGGCTCCAGAGTTCACCTGGCAGGCAAACTGCCTGTTTATAAGGGCTCTGGATCCAGTGCTACTCCAACCTCAGGGGCCTTATACCTTTCCTACACTTTGCCTGTGAAGTCAACCACTCAAAAAAGCCCAGAAACCCTTCTCCATTCTCCCTTCTACGGGACAGCAAGAAAACAAGGATGCTGTGAGTCCAAGTAGGAGGGGCAGCCTGGTCTAAGGAAGAGGGGGTGTTTGTACAGCAACACGATCTGTGTCTCTGCCCAGCCCTTCTAGAGAAGGCAGTTGTTCCTTGCTGTGCCTGCATCTTGCCAGAGAAGAGTCCCACTGGGCAAAATGTGGCCCAGTAAGTCCAATGGGAGAAGAGGGAGGCAGAGAATTTAGGCTGGGTCCTGACTCAGGCCTAGGAAGACCATCTCCGCAATTGAAAACCAACAAATAGAAGAAAACCCATAAAAGAAAAAGACTTGCCCCAAGTCTTTAGCTGACTTCTCGGGCTGCAAATATCCCTGCCACGTGAGGCTGCATTAAATTAGGATGAAGTCTAAGCATTGACCTATTTTGGTTACCTAGAGAAGATTAGATAATGAAATACATTAATCTTCACTACAATACCCATTCGTTATCATAATGCATGTTCTATAATCTGGAAGTATTTTTGGCCTCTGAAAGACATAAATGATTCCCTTCTCCCAGTTCTCTGAAATCTGTCAGTTCCTTAGAAACTTAGTCAAAACTTCTAAGTAGGAAGCGTTGACAATCAACTTGCCCAATTCTCTTCCTCTTACAGATGAAAAGACAGAAGACCCAGAGAGATAGTTACCTGCCCAAGGTCACAAAACTAAAAGCAATGAGAACTTGGGGCATTCTTGTCACATTAAACCATTTGGACAAAACTAATGTTTATTCTTTGCGGTAAAACAAAATAATGAAAATGGAAAACGTGCCTTTTCCCAGCCATATCTTGAAAAAACTGGAACCTTATTCTATTTATAAAAATGCAGATTTGATTTCTTTAATGGTTAGTCAAAAACTTTCTATGAGGTATTTAGAGATTATGCCGCAATCTATCATAGCATCTGAACAAGAACTACCTTTCCGTTACTGTTGGTGGATAGCTATTCTGTCCAGGAACAGAATATATGAGAGTGTTTCTCTATTGTAAATCTATAATTAGTGAGAATTTGCAAAGTTACTTTGGGTTGTGGAGACAGCAAAGGAGAAATGCAAATCTAAGTCTTAGGAGACAGCTTGAGAAGTAGACAAGCAAAGCCAGAAAAGGTGAAATCAATCATTCACTGAGCTCAGGAAGTGACAATCATATCAGTTCTGCAAATGAGCTAAACTAGGAAGCCCTTAGGCAAGAATCACGAACAAAGAAAGGTTTGAAAGTGAATAAGCAGTGAATAAATCTGAAAATACTGAGTGAAAAAGGAAGAATGTGTATAACGTGACACCATGTACATGAGTATAAAACATGCAATACATTACTAGATACTGTTTGTGGACACATAAATATATAGTAAAAGTATAAAAACATTCATTATATAATGATAAACTACAAATTCTGGATGAAGATCTTCTCTGGAAGTAATGGGGTCATGAGGTAGTAGATGGTACTGTATTTACATATTTGGTCAAATGATAAATATTTGATATAATTTTTAAAAACCTACTACTAGGAAAGTACCCCCAAATTCTTTACAGTGACTAAGCTTTGGGCAAAATGAATTGTATGGAGAAAAGCCAACTCAATAACCAGTTGACAGAGATGGAACAAGTACCCAGAGATATGCTTTGTTACCTTCAGGCACCATTGAGATGAAAACTTGTACTGTAAGCCAATTCTGCCATTAGAAGCACATGCTGTTAATAGTTCTGGAAAGGGCATGACTTGATTCACATTCCCTGGCACTTTCAGAATAATTAGTCAAGTTATGATTTGATGTCACATATCTGATTATGAGCTCTAACTTCATCTCTCTCATACAGCTCTCCTTGTTTGTGAAAAGCCTTTCATATTAAATGCATAAGGGAGCCTCCTCTACATTTTTTTCCCCTTCCTATTCTGTGGTACAGATCTTGGTTAGGTTAATGTTTACCTGACATTTATGGAATCACTCCGAGGTGAGGGATGTGGCAATATGCTATCCCCCTGAGGGAATAGTGCAGAACACATAATATTTAGTACAAAGGTGCATGAAATGGCAGAGCAACTTTTCTTCATTTCACTTACAAAGATGCTTTCCAAAGCCTCTTCTTGATGTGGCATCTGTGAATGGAGGGGCTCAGCTACAGGGTGGACCATTAAACACATTTGCCTTGTGTACCCAACTCTTTCTTTAAGAGTGATCTCTAGAGAATGTCAGAGGACACTAGAGTTCACAGCAGCTCTTGGCATGAGTGAGACCACCCAAAATATTCCACTCTGATCATCATTATGGGGAATTCAAGTGATGGCTCAAATACAAAAGGGGGCAGTATAAAGCCCAAGGCCTCCTTCCGATTGCTGAAAACTCATTCTAGGTCACAGAAGTGCAGCAATACAATGACTATCCATGCATTTTCCAGAGAGTTAATAGATGTCAAGTCTTCCGTTGTGTCATTTAGGACTGTTACATATCATCTCCCATTTTCAAAGTCACTAAGACTATCCAAAATTATGAGCAGTTACCTCAAAACCTTTCTTAAGCAGTGTTTTCAAATTTGGGAGTGTCATCCAAGGTTTATACTTATTTTATCCCTACTAATTGTCTTGCTGTTCCTAGGTTAAGAAAAGTTTTCAGCCATTGGGTAACCAGCCAATTATCATGAAAAGGAGGCAAAATTAACTGATGCTATGGGTAACTAATTTCAGTACTTTTATTCCTGCTTATTTAATAATCACTTAGATGCAGTCAAAATTCCCGAATAACCAAATGTAGCCTAGTGACAGGTGAGCTTCAACGTCCCAGCTCTAGATGAATGGGTCTCAAACTTGAGCATGGATTAGAATCACTTGCATGACTTGTGAACACACGCATTGCTGGGCCCCACCTTGGGAGTTTCTGAGTCAGCAGGTGTCAGGTGGGACCCAGTAGTCTGCATTTCTAATAAGTCTCCAGGTGATGAAGATGTTGCTGTCCTTGGACCACTTTGAGAACCACTGATCTAGATCTGAGACCCTAGGGAAAGTATTTATCCTCTCTAAATCTCAGTTTACTTGCTGTAAAAGGGGAGTACTCAGAAGATTAAATAAAATGTTTATGGAGAACCTAGTGTTATGCCAACACTGGGTGCTCTATAAATGGTAGCTGTTATTACAGTAACTGAAATTCAATTTCAGAATAAAAAATCCAAGCTAATTTGCCTGTATGTGGCATATAAATTGCACATACCCACTCTTTTACTTACATACCTAAACTATCTCATTTTAGACAAAATATCAGTTCTGCTTATAAAGCCTGTGATTTCAAAATGAGAAAAAAGGAGCCAGCAATCCAGAAGAAATAGGCAACAAGCAGCCTATGGGTTCTGCATAGTTAACGTGTAAACATTTCTCATAAATCTCTCTTATTTGCTTGCACAGAACTTGTTGTGTCTGTGTTTAGAGGGAAGGGGGCTGGTTAGGGGAGCTTTATCTCTCCACATTGAACAGCAGCAGGAAACTAGGGATCCCTATAAGCAAAGATGATTTAAATCATGAAGACCTCTGAAATAATCCTGAGCATCAGGATGAAAATCTCAAATTTGTGGTCCCTTTTCCTTTCCACTGAAAACAGTCCAGCAGGGAAGAAAGGGAAGGAAGAGCTGAGATTGGCTGTGATTATTTCAGTTTTGAAGCAGCATTTGACCTTCAAGTCTCCTCTCTCTTCATAAAGTCAACATCTCTAGGCCCAGCTTTCAAATCAAGTAAAAGATAGGGGAGGAAAGGGGGCAGAATTAGGGATGGGGGCAGGGCAGAAAGGGTATATCCTCAACTGTCTCTCCACCTCCAAGGGGCAAAGCTTTTCTTTTCACTTGCTGTGTCCAGTAAGCAGCTGGGTTCTCCTCTATCCCAGCTCCAGCAGAGGGGTAATGAGATTAGCATCCCCACTTGCCCTCACACAGCCAGGCATCAGAAAGCAGTAGCATCCTGTGACATGTGGAGTCCACCACGCACCCAGTGCTGAATTCCATATCTTCTGCATTTCCTGCAGGTGGTGGAGTCTTCCTACCTGTGTGAAACTTCCATACTAAGAAGTCAGTCTGGAGAGAAATTTCAGGCTTGGCAGCTGAGCTTGGTAACTTTCCATTTGTGATTTGGGACAAATAAGTCCCATTTTCTGGTAGGTTATCAACTTTGTATATGTCATGATGATGAGAATATAAACAACAATAGAAGCTAACCTCTATTAAGTGCTTATTATGTACCAAATTTCTAATCTTTTCACATGCATAAACCTATTTAATCTTTACAACAATCTTATTAGGGAAATCAAGTCAACATTCCCATTTTACAGATGAGGAAACTGAGGCACAGAAAGGTTAAGTAAATTGCCTAAGGGCACCTATCCAGAAAGCCCACGATCTTAATCACTCCACAAAGTCATCAAGTTTGATAGATACTGGTTAGGGAGTCCTAATAGTCATGGTGAATATATTTTTAGTACTGAAATCAGGACACTTAGGGAAGGATATAACTGAGACAGTCCTGGAAATTCAAGGATGTATGAGAAACCCCAAAATGCAGGTAGCTCAGGGATGGTGGGAGAAATGAGGACCTTACAGCTGAGGATCCCCAAATGACCCTGCTTCAGATCCTTTGTGGTCTTAGTGTGTCTTTTCATCTTTCAGAATTTCAGTTACCTAACCTGTAAAAATGGACTGATGTGAGGACTAGGTTGTCTAAATTTTTTATACAGTGTTACAGAAATATCAGCTTTTATTGTTTCATGGCACATCAGCAAGTTTCTATACAGGGAGGCCTGGGAAAATCACACAGGGGCAGGATCCCTCAAGACTCATGACCCAAAGAGAGGACTAACAAAAGGAAGAACTCACCCCTGACATTGATAAAATGCTGTGTGAACACTGGCTCCTCCTCCCCAGCGAAGTATCTAATTCATTCATTTCATTATTTATAATCATGACTGCCTAGAGCCTGACCATGTGCTTCTCTACATCATAATAATACAGGGCTTCAAAGTAATATGGAAATCTCACTCCCACCTGCTCACCTCAATGCCCATCCTGGAAGAATTTCCTAAAGACCAAGATTGAGAGTTTAGCCAGTCTGTTAGTGGCACTATGAGGATGCTTCCAAGTCTTCAATGTTTTCCAAAAGTGGTCCGATAGGTGCATTGATCCATCCATCTATCCACCCACCCACCCACCCAATGTTTATTAAGTACCTACAATGTTCCAGTCACTGCATTAAGATGCTGGAGATATCGGACGATCTCCTTTGACCAAGGCCTTCATCCGAGTCTCAACTACCGCCACAAAAATGGGGCACATAGGGCACTTGAGGAATATAAGATGATGACCAGCCCTTCATCTTACTTCAGAGCAAATCCTAGGGTTCCCCACACCCTCCCTTTTATGGTCTCCAAAACTAGCTTCCCTCTGGATACGGATTTTAGAAAACTACACAGTTATCTCAAGATTCATTTAGGAAGAACTGACTTCTTAAAAATATTAGGTTTTCCTATTAAGGTTAAAAGATGGCTCTCTATTAATTTAGTTCTTCTTTAAGATATACTGATTTTTAATAAGTTAGATCTAGACTACCAGGTCACTATCTCGAGTTCTTTTTTAACAAAGCATATAAGAAACAAACAATTAATAATAATGAAATAGAAAAATACCAAAATCAGATCTTGAAAAGCACACCCTATCTCCTCCTCCAGGGGTCTCCATTCCACATCCTATTGAATTAATCAACCAAAATGTAAATAACACTTACTCAGGGCTGTCTGGATGTCCTTTTCTCCATTTTTCACTTCTGTCAGAAATCCCTTCAAAAATTTGAGACCTCTAAAACAAAAAAGAGGAAGAAATATTATTTTCAAAGTTCACTTATGTTGAATGGGTATGAATAAATGGCAGACATCAGCTTCTTTTTCAGTAGTATCCTGGGCACAGCAATAAACAAGTCAAGTCACATGGCAGTCCTTTCTAAGTTTCTTCCCTGTGATTTCCCCTTAGCTTGCTCTAGATGCTTCTTATCTGAAATACCTACACAGTGGTTTTCAAAATGTGGTCCCGGACCAGCAGCTTCAGCATCACCCGGGAACTTGTTAGAAATGCAAATTCTGGAGCTCCCCTCCAGACTTACTGAATCAGAAATTGGGTTTTGGGTGGAGCAATCTGTGTTTTTTAATAAGCCCTCCAGGTGAATCTGATGCCATTACAGTTTGTAATCCACCGACTTAAAGACAAACTAATCAGCTTTACTGTCCTTTATGATTCCTATCTTATATATTCTATTAATATTAACAATGTTTATCACTATCAAGACAGAGGCAAAAAAAAGTTGATATTCTATTCTTCAGGCCTTCTAGAAAAGGCTATACATGGGTTACAGCTTTCATTCAGAAGTAGCCTCTTTTGCATAACAATTTTTTTGGGGGGGTAACATTTCAACTAAGCTGGATTTCAACTGCTGCCCCACCCCAGTTGCCTCACCTCTTCAGCCACAGGAGGGCTTCTGTAGCTGAGTTCCTAACCTGGGCTACATCGGCCTCCACTTCGTGCAGCACTATCTTCTGGAGTGTGGTAAACTCTTCTTTGTTGGTTATATACTTCTGATTTACTTTCTGCAGGAGAAGCAGGGAAATAACCTAAGTTAAAAGTGCTAAAGCTATCAAGCAAGTCAGTTTACTGTTGAGACATAAGTTTGTCAACCAGGCCTCTAAGAAATCAAAATGAATTAAGCCTCTCCTACCTTTTCCTTATGCTTTCCAAGTAATCTGTTTTATTTGTTTGAGGATTCTTATTAGGCTTAAGCTAGAATTAAATAGTTTGAGGGTTTTAAAGTACTGTTTTTAAAGTATTTTTTCCTCTGAGAAAGGTTCTTACAGCTGGCCTATACTTTTCATCCCCGAGTATAAAACTCAACAATCATTTGTTTCTGAATGAGATTTCATGCAACTACTCCCTCCAAATATACAGTCTCCACGGAGACAAGCCAGTATATTCACCTTAATATTTCCAACTAGATCCATTTTAACAGGAGCAAACACTGTAGGGCCAAGTTTGTCTAGAAGAAAAGATTGAAAACATCTTTGAAAAAGCAATTTTTTCAAGTGGAAAATATTTTTTATAGTAGCAATGAATTTAACAGGTCCCCCCACCCCCCACCAAACTTTTATTTTTTGCTTTTAAATCATTTTCTAAATATAAGCTTCAAAGGTTCCTGGCACACTGTCATTGCTTTTTTCTACTACACTGCTCTGAAGTGAGTAACTATAATAAGGGCCTAAGGGCAGGTGAGGATAACCTTATAAGTTTAGAATGCGCATTGTAATCCTTGGGGCTGCACTGTCCAATACAGTAGTCAGTAGATGTGTGGCTATTGAGCTCTTGGAATGTACCTATTCCAAACTGAAATATGCCGTAAGTATAAATATATACCAGATTTCAAAGACATAGTACCAAAAAAAGAATGCCAAATATCTCATTAATGATTCTTTTATATTGATTCCATGTTCAGATGATATACTGTATATACCAAGTTAGATAAAATACATTATTAAAATTGGTTTTATCTGTTTTGCTTTACAATTTTAATACGCTTGCCAGAAAATTTAAAATTATATATGTAGTCCAAATATTTTTGTTGGATAAGAGCAACTAAAAATAGTAACACAAAGGGGTATAGCCAAAAAGCCAAAAGAGAAAATATAATAAAATTCTAAAAAATACTTGACTCATTCAAAAGAAAGGCAGGAACAAAGATAGGTAGCTAAAAGAGGAAATAAAACAGAATACAAAAAAATAATTGATTAATTGGGTAGAAATCAAGAAAGGAGTAAACAAGGAAGAACACATGAGACAAACAGACAATAAGTAGCAAGACGGTAGAAACAGACAGCAAGATAGCAGGCTTAAATTCATCCAAACAATGTAATTTATTACATTGAGTACAGGAAAAAAACCTGATAGTTTCAATAAACACAGAAAAATATATTTTATAAATTAACTCATTCATGATTGTAAAAAACAACTCAATGTACAAGTCAATTGTATCTATATGCTATTAATAAACAACTGGAAAATGAAATACTTTTCATGATAGCATAAAAAAACATAAAATTCTAAAAGTTATTCCTAACAAAAGATGTGTAAGACCTTTACACGATACAAAACGTTGTGAAACTAAAGAAGACCTAAATAAATGAGAGATACAGCACATTCATGGATTAGAAGACTCAATGTTGTTTAAGATGTCAATTTCCTACTAATTGGCTTACAGATTCAATGTAATCCTAATCAAAATCCCAACAGGCTTTTTTTTTTTTTAAGAAATAGTAAGAAAATCATATATGTTTATTGAAAAGTTTTCAAGATTCATTACTTCAAAAAAAAATCACAATGGGACACACAGAATAAGCTCTCTTTTGTGTCTTATATAATACAGTATGTCTTATTCAGAAATGCCTCTATCTATTCAAAAAAATCAGTTGGTAGTACTTATGTTTTACTTACTCTCACTAAGTTTTGAGTGGTTTACTGGCTTAGTACAGAAAACCAGTACATTTATCAGAATATTGCATTTTACTATCTTATTCCTTTTTTTATTCCTAAACCATAGTCGTTTTCTGTTTCTGTGTATGTTTGGGATATACGTAATGAGATTTATTTTTATTTATACAGAGAAATATTTATGATTTCTCTGATTTTAAGGTTTAAGACTTAAGACTCCTGGCATCTTCATGATAAGAGGGATAACTTGTATTATTGGCCATAACTACTGTGTAGGGTAGAATTGGAGTTACCTTGTAGCTCTCCCATCAGACTGCTATTCTATCCTGCTTCCTACTGTCATACATGCTTATCAAAGAATGTATGGTCCCAGGAATCCTACAGGAAAAAAAAATCCCCTTCAACCTCTAGTCCCAGTGTGTATATAGACTCTCCTTTCTTTGGCCAACTGGACCATGTGGAAGCCACCTGCATGCCCCCCTACTCTGTGGGCTCCACTTTGTCCTTGCTTATCCTATCCAGGAGAGTGAAGAGGAGTCGTGGAAGGAGGATGGGAACTTTGGTACCCTCCACACATCTTTGGAAAGGTCCACTCTAGCACACTGACCCCTGGACACGGTCTTAGTTTTTCTCTTTGATCTGTATCTCTTCTTCCTCTCTGGGGTTGAATTAGCGGGATGGGCAGCTTTGCTTTTTCCCTTAAAGTAACGGGAAGCATGCATGGCCCATGATTCTTCCCCCCCCCACACACACTGTATTTTATTTTTACAAGAGATAAATAAACTGACACCAAGCATTATAAATGGATGACCACAACAAAAGCAACAATGATTGCAATTACCAAACATGAAACACATTCATACTATGTCATAATATTGACATTCATTTTAACAGCTAAAATTTATATGGACATGCAAAGGACCTAGAATTGCCAAAACATCTTGAAAAAGAAGAACAAAACTGGAAGATTACATTATCTGATTTCAAGCCTTACACAGTAATTAAGATACTGTAATACTAGGATGAGGAAAAAAAACCAGATTGTTGAAACAAAAGAGAGTCCAGAAATAGACCCACACTTATAGGGTCAACTGGTTTTCAAAGCGCTGCCAAGGTAATATAAAAGGGAAAAAAGATACTTTTTCAACAAATGGTTCTTGGACAACCCGATAAAAAAAAAAAAAAAAAAAAAAAAAAAAGAAGGAATCTCAACCCTTACCTCACACCACATAAAAAACTGATTCCAAGATGGATCACAGATGTAAACTTAAAATCAAAAATAAGAAGTGTAGAAGACAGCACAGAAGACTATCTTCATGACCTTGGGGATAAGCAAAGATCTTTTAGGGTACTGAAAGCACTAACTATAAAAGAAGAAAACATAGATAAATTGGATTTAATGAAAATTAAAATTCCTGCTCTTCAAAAGGCATCATTAAGAAAAGAAATGAACAAGTCATAGTCTGGGGGAAAATATTCATAATGAGTATGTCTACAATGAAATGTTATTCAGAACATACAAAGAACTCTTTCAATTCAATAATAAAAAGAAAATTAACCAACTTTTAAAAATAGGTTAAAGATTTGAACAGACTTCACAATGGAAGAGATAGCAATGGTCGATAACCATATGAAAAAGTGCTCAACATCATTAGTCATCAGAGAAATACAAATTAAAGCCACAAGATACCACCAAACACTCACAGAAATGGCTAAAACCAAAAATACTGACACCACCAAGTGCTAGTGAGGATGTGAAGCAACCAGAATATTCATATATTGCTATTGGAAGTACACAACGGTACAACCACTCTTTATGAAATTACATGTATAAACCCTATGAATCAGCAATTCCACCCCTAGGTATTTACTCAAAAATGAAAACATGTGCCCACAGACACAAAAACGTTCAGAGCAATTTCACTTATAACAGCCCCAAACAAGAAACTACCCAAATGTTTATCAGTAGGAGAATGAATAAACAAAATGGGGTATAGTCACTTAATAGAATACTATTCAGCAATAGAAAGGAATGAGCTACTAATACATGTAACAACAAAGGTGAAAACATTATACTATCAAGAGTATAATAATGCAAGAGTACGTAACATGATTCCACTTATATGAAATTTTAGAACACGCAAAACTAATCTATGGTGACAGAAATCAGTATGGTTGCCTTGGGCTGGGTGACAGGTTGTGGACTGACTGGCATAGGGAATGTTCTGGGGTGATGAAAACATTCTCTGCCTTGACAGAGGTGTGGATTACATAGGTAGATGCATTTGTCAAAACTCGCTGAATTATAACAGTTAAGTTCTATGCAAGATATACCTTGATTTAAAAAAGAGATACAGAGTTAAGTGGATTATATAGCAAATTTCAACACATTAGCAATTCCTGGTACTACTGGCTCTATAAAAAGTAAATGTAATTTAAACTTAAATAAAGTTATATATACAATTTTTTTTAATCTGAAAAAAGTTTTAGCTGGTAAAATGTTTTTTCATAGTACCAACAGATTTGAAGATCTGTTCCTTAACTACTTTCACTTTTGCTCTTAAGTATGATTTCTAGAAAACAGAATTCCCTTTTTTCATTACACAACTCTAAGATCAGTATTAATCATAATTAGAAATGAAATGGAAATATGTAATAATGCTTAAGGTCACACAGTTTTAACTATATGTGTCTACTGATATGAAGAGGTAGATAAGAAGGGTCATCTCACTGTACACATAGTTCAGCATATTTCTACTACAAAATAACTGCAGTGAAACAGATTCTAGAGACTATGAATTTAAGGCAAATCCAGCAACCTTACCTAATACTGGAACCACAGCATAACATGATGCTAAGAATGCTTCTGTGGGAATGCCACTGTCTTCCAGAAGTTCAATGTCACTAAAGCTAAACAATTTGGTGATACAGAGGAGGAAAGATTGAAAGCACAACATTAGCACGCTCTGCAGTTCAGAGGCAGTCATGAAAACAGCTGCCCCTCTGTAGGTCAAATCATTTAGCTTCATCTCACAAATATGCCCCAGTGACTGTTCTTCTATTATAACACAGTCTAATAAAATCATTTTCCAAAGATAATCCACCAAAGCAAGCTAAAACTTGTTGACAGAGTATACTCTCACAATCCAGTTCCTTCTTATCCACTGCTTCAGGCAAGGTGAACAGTAAAGCAGATGCTTGGTATGCCACATTCTCTATTCTGTCAGGATACGCCATCCCCTGAAAGGAACACCAACATTGACCTTCCAGAAGGAAAGCTCGTATCCAACTGTCAGTGATTTTAGAGAGTACAGAATACCTGGTGTTCATGGTACTAAAGAAAGTTGGGATGACTTCTTGGCCTTCTTCCCAGTGGGCTTCTGGAGAGCTGCTTGAGGAGTGTGATTCAGACTGTGCCAAGTGGCTGTCATGATTTCCCAGGTTTTCCTCTCCATCCTCCTTTATCATTTCACTTTGGACTGTAAAGCAGGAGATACCTATTACTAACCTTTTATTTATGTATTATAAGATTAATATATATATATATTCATTGTTGAACATTTTTAACACAGAAAAGTATACAGAAAGAAAAATCAGTGAAATACTATACATATACACACAAACAAAATTGAGTTTAAATACATGTAGATTTTCATCCAGCCTGTTTTCACTGAACAGTATATCATGAATATTTTCATTATCATTCAATACTCTTCAAAACATGGTTTTAATGACCATGTAATATTGAATCATGTTTATGTGGCAGGCATTTAGGTAGTTTCTAAAATTTCAGTATTATAAATAGAGTTGAGCCTCAATATTAGTGTATTCTGTCTTTGTGGATTTGCCTACTTGCTGAAGTTTATTTGTAATACTAAAATCAACGCTCATGGCACTCTTGCAGTCATTTTGGATATGTGCAGAGTGGTGAAAAAATTTGAGTTACCTGACACGCATGTTCCCAGCTGAGGTTGAACAAGGTGACATTCTGCCTTCTTGTTTCACCTTTCATACTGTACGCAAATGTGTTTATTTAGTGCCATTTTTGTTTTTTTGCATTCTTGTGCACTTTGTTGTTGATTTTGCTGTTTAAAAGGACCTCCAAGTGTAGTGCTGCCTAGTGTTCCTAAGCACAAGAAGGCTGTGATGTGCCTTATGGAAAAACACGTGTTATATAAGCTTATATAAGATAAGCTTCATGAGCTTCCCTGGTGGCGCAGTGGTTGAGAGTCCGCCTGCCGATGCAGGGGACGTGGGTTTGTGCCCCGGACCGGGAGGATTCCACGTGCCGCGGAGTGGCTGGGCCCGTAAGCCATGGCCGCTGGGCCTAGGCCACAGCAGTGAGAGGCCCGCGTACCGCAAAAAAAAAAAAAAAAAAAAAAAAGATAAGCTTCGTTGAGGCATGAGTTATAGTGCTGTTGGCCATGGGTTCAACGTTAATGAGTCAACAATATATATAAACAAGGTATCTTTTTTTTTTCCTTTAGGAGGAGGGACTCTTTTCTTTTTAATTTTTATTGGAGTATAGTTGATTTACAATGTTGTGTTAGTTTCAGGTGTACAGAAAAGTGAATCAGTTATACATATACATATATCTACTCTTTTTTAGATTCTTTTCCCATATAGGCCATTACAGAGTAGAGTCCCCTGTGCTATACAGTAGTTCCTTATTAGTTACCTATTTTATATATAGTAGTGTGTATATGTCAGTCCCAATCTTCCAATTTATCCCTCTCCCCAACAAGGTGTCTTTAAACAGAAACACACAAAACAACAATATGTTCTGATCAGTTGATGAAAATGTGGAAGGAGGCTTGCAGGAACCTAACCATATGTATTTCCCCTAGGAGCAACGGTTCAGTATTTGCTAATTCAGTGTTTGCAGTGACTTTATAGAACAAAATTATCATGAGTAATGAGAATTAACTGTAATGTCATAAAGGACATCCCTGTCCATATATATTTGTCTTTAAATCTGACTATTCCCTGAGGACAAATTCCTAGAAAAAAATTATTGGGTCAAATAAATAATAGTACTGTTTTAACAGAAATTCTCCTGTCTATTATTTACTCAAGGGATAAGACTTCAGTGATGTATGGATTGCTTGCTGCAGGTTAACAGCTATGAAAATGCATCTTTTCTTCCCCGCACTCACCAGAGGAGATGAGGAGGAAACTTTAAAAAAAATTTTATTTTCAAACTATTTAATACACACTTATAACACAATTAAAAACTCTAAGATGGTTGTCATGGACTGATCTGAAGTTGGTTTTAGTAGTTAGAGCCAATGAAATTAGTAAATTGAAAAGGGCAGCACTTTCAACTACAGGTTATTACCTAAAACTTGGGAATTTGGCTTGATGAACACAGAGACAGCCAGGTGAAAATCTGATGGTGGTTGGTGAATTCGGACATCCTCAGGCCTCACCAGAAACCAGGAGGATGGAGAACTGAACTGCCATAACTCTGCAGACTCTTAAGTCTCACATCATAGTCTATGTTCAATGGACTTTGAAATTCTGAGCAGAAGGCCCTAATACTCATACTCTCTAAAAAGTCAGCACAGACAGCTACAGCTCACTGAAGCCCATGGACATCACAGCTAAGAACAGTGAGTGGGAAACTCCTCTTCATTCTGCCTTTTCAATAGGGGGGGTCAGGTGGGATGGCAGAACGTTTTCAAGTGAACTCTGTTATCTTACGAACAGCTGCCTCGGGAGCTACCTAGCACGCTGTCTTGAGGTCAATCCCTATCAAGTGTCGCATCATGGATAATGAATCAAAGCCCCATGATCCTTTTATTCAATGGTTTGCCTCACATCCTTTTTGTTTTTACCTGTTATATTATCATCTGTATTTTCTTCACTTGATATGCTGTGATCTGTCTCTGCAGGTTTCAAACATAAGGAGCTCTTGTTTTTCATTAGGATTTCTTCATCATCATTTATTTCCATAATTAAAGATCCATTCTCACAACTGTTTAACTCTGTTTGCCTAAAATTTTTTTAAAAGGAAAAAAGCCAAAAAGTCCAATTATTTGGTCATAAATAGACTGCACAGATAGATCCTATTCTGAGGGATGGGGAAGGGTCCACAACCACAATTACCAACTCCTTTTAACACTGATTGAAAAACAGAATTGTTAAATCAAGCCAAATCTCTCACCCCACCCTCCTGCCTCCAAGGCAGGTATCCTGTGCTGGGAGTAGGCCTGTCTCCAGGCTGAAGTCCAGAGACCAAAGAGCCATTCATGGCTCTTCATGCACCCTCAGCTGACTCCAACTTCCTGCTCCCCACCAGCAACAGGAGATATTCATTGATAGCACCTGGGTTTTCAATCAGCTTTTCTACAGGTACCACATTCAACACTTTTTCTCACTTTCCTCAGCTTCTCCCTGGAAGGTTTTTTCTCTCTCCTCACCTCTCAAATCACTGGCCACTTCCATTTGTTTGCCTAGCAGTTAACTGTCTAGAAGCCACAGCTGTGGTCAAGGAAGACCAGAAAAAACCCAGGAGGACACAATACATCCTGAGCATCTGTTGCTCTTTAGGGTAACATAAAAGGCTATTTAACATGCAAGTGAAATAACTGATTCTGTTAAAGGGACAATCATAACATCTTATTATAAATAACTAGACTCAGCCAAATTAGAACAAAACCATTTTCTTCTAATAAGAATAAATGGAAAAGGTCCAAGCTACATGTTGACTCCAGGAAAAGCATTTGTTTTTCTAAAAAAATACCGTATTTCAACTTGGCAATTAAAAATATAGGAGTATATTGATGAAATACCTCAAAAGAAAAAAAATATCTACAAAGATGTTCCTAGTAGAAATATTTAGATCAGGAGAAAATTATTAACCAAATTGGGGAACAATCCTTGTACTAAAGAAACAAACAACTGTATATAAAGAGATGAAAATATTAAATAATAACTTGAAAGGACAAATACATGGACAATGTCAAAATACAGGAATGCTTATATGAAATAATAACTGAATAAAAACCCTAAATAATAGGAACACAACTGTGTAAACGTGTACTTTTTTTCAGTAGTTCAGATTTCGATATTATGTTCTTTTTCCAACCTGTAAAGCTACCTAAGATTTTTATTTTTAAATGAAACAAAATAGCACTGTCTTTTCTGATAAAACCACATTTAAATCAATGCTCGGCTCCTTCACAAGACAGGAGGTTCCAATACTCAGTATAACAGAGAAATGAAAAGTTATTAGATGTGGTGGGTGAGATCCATATCCTGGGGAAATGTGAACATCTTCCCTAGTAGTCAGTGCTGAATGAAAGATTTGCAGTGCTTCAGGTTCACCTCTGGTATCATCTCAAACCATGAGAAAAACCACCACATGATTTCTCTTCTTTTCTTTTTTAAATTTATTTATTATTTTTGGCTGTGTTGGGTCATTGTTGCTGCACATGGGCTTTCTCTAGTTGCAGTGAGCAGGGGCTACTCTTTGTAGCTGTGCATGGGCTTCTCAATGTGGTGGCTTCTCTTGTTGCGGAGCACGGGCTCTAGAGCACGTGGGCTTCAGTAGATGCGGCGCGTGGGCTCTAGAGCACAGGCTCAGTAGTTGTGGTGCACGGGCTTAGTTGCTCCGTGGCAAGTGGGATCTTCCCGGACTAGGGCTCGAACCCATGTCCCCTGCATTGGCGGGCGGATTCTTAACCACTGTACCACCAGGGAAGCCCATCACATAATTTCTTAAAAAAAAAAAGCAAGGAATACCAATATCCTTATTTTTATATTTTTAGAAAGAAGAAAAAACAAAAAATGTTACTGTACCTTTCCAATGAATTATGAATTGGTACAATAGGATGTTTCATCTTTAAAAGAAGCAAAGAAAAGAAAATTCACACGTTAAACTCTCAACAGAATATATTTAGAGTTTTATCACATATGAAAGTGGTAAATATGATCATAACACACACTGCCCCACTCAAGAGGAATAATTTTAGGTCTTCCCAAAAGAAAGGAGTCATTGATCCCAACCAGTCTTTAAGGGTACCCAAATTTCTAAGGGTACCCAAATTTCTAAGAAAAAGGAAGATGGTCTTTTGAAGGGCCTAATTACCATATTTATACCCTTGGTGGTTAGCTTTCTTGTAATTACTATTACACTCATTAAATATTATTAGATACAAAACTATGATACAGCATTGTATCAAACACTGGAAGCATAAAGGTAAACAGTATGGGGTTCTTGCCCTTAAGGTAATTTCAATATAGAATAAGGCTAAAATAGGGGTATGCATAGAGGAGGAACTCTCCCAACTAAA